AGGGGCTCCTGGCCATACTACTAGGAGCAAGGGCGCTATTAGGGGCTGGTTTAGACTTTCTCTCTTTTCTTCGCATTTCCTCCGCTTTGCCCCTCCGGCTCCGCTGCCTGTGGAGATGTCCAGCCCTGGAAGCTCCCCGGGCCCCGCGCGCCGCCGCACGGGGGAGGAGCTGCGTTGAGGGGCCGTGCCCTGCACGCAGCAAAAACAGAAACAGTATCACTGTTGTTGGTCCAGGTGGAAAGAATTGGAATGTGTTTTTCTCAATATGAGATGAGATTTGCCTAGATGACTCTTTGGCAATCACCTGCATCTCTCACTTTCTTCCCCAGCCAAACACTTGAGTCCGAGCCAAATATCTGTCTTTGTGCCTTACGTGTTTCTTAAAGGTGAATTCCTTGCAAAAAGACCTGCAAATGAACTGACTTACTGACTTGAGGGTAGTTGAGGGAGCCCCAGCCGACTGCCCACCGACCGACCCCGTTCAGCCCAAAGAGGCACCGAAGCATCTGGCCGTGGAAGGCAGGGCAGCACCCACGATGCCGACGCGTCTGATTGGCACCAGGCTACCGCTACACACCTCGAAGAATACATCAAAAGTTAAAACTTTGGATGTTAAGACAGTTTGGATGCACCATGGATATCCTTCATAGTTTGGATGCTAACAAAGTGAAGCTCTATGGTTTGCTTTTGACTTGTCCTGTCCTTCACACTCACATGATGGAAATACCAAGCGGCAAGAGCGCGCCAGACCGCAACCGCCGTGCGTTGGGAGACATGAGACCCTTGTCACTGTCGCGCTGAAGGGAGGCTTGCCCCCAAATTCAGATCTGATTGATGCGAAATTGATGATAAAGGTGAGGCGCACCTGACAAGGAAAGGGAAACCTGAGTCTGTGATTTTGATAAATTGCTGAAGTCAAGATTGCTCAGCTGAAGGCTATAAGTAAGGCGAGGGCATTCTTGTATAGCTTTGACAGGGCTTGAGCTCCTGGACCCTTACCCCAAACCCATGCTTGTTTCAGGCCAACGACTGTTATGCAATTTTCAAGAAGCTGCCAGCAAGGTTGAGGCCGATGAGAACGGCCAACCAAGATTGGTGGCGAAGCACGAAATGGACTGGACAGCAGTCAAATCAGTCAAACAGGATGCCTCCATTTGGTTTCTGCATTCTGGCGGCTTACCTCGTGTTAGGTGCACTAAACTCATTTACACCCCGCACTGTAAACTTTTGGCGAACCCTTTCCTCTCTTGTTTAGTAGCTCCTAGTACCTGGCCGTGACTCAAGCAGCACAGAGTCGTCCCTTGTACAACGAAGCTACTAGTAACAAGTGCATCGCTTCTAGTAACAAGTGCCTTACTAGTAGTAACAAGAAGCTACTAGTATTGTCTAGCTCCACAAACCCACAACCGGTAGGGCACGTCTTTTTGGTCTCGACTAACTCCACCAGGTGCGGCGCCTGAACGGCTGCGGTGCCCGGTGGACCAGGAGCCCCTAGCTTCTTGCTACTAGTAGCTAATGCCCTTGTTACCCTTAGCGATGCCCTTGTTACTAGTAGCTTCTTGCTTATTTAAGATGCAGCAACACACCACCACATCGTACTGACAGATGTCTATGCAAAGAATAAGGGTGCAACAAGTTCACATTACCTGCGAGCCACCCTGGTTGGTGCTTTTGCAGGGTGAGCACGTTTGAAAGGGGTATCCATCAATCTCAAAACCAATCAGGCTTCTGGGTGCTCTGCTTTTACCGACCTAGAAGGGATCCCAACAAGAACCTATGCATCCTTTACAAACTGTGCTTCTTCCACTTCCATGTGTCCTCAACCACCTGAGGTGATCCAGTTTGGGATTAACCCCGGCAGCCTGCCGTGTCCCCATCTTTCCCTCCCGGCATCCTAGCCCTCCTAGCCTCTTGCTTGGCACGGGGTCCGAGGGCGCGCCTGAGAGGCTCAGGAAAAAGACCCAGCAAGGCGGCTCAATGGCCAATTGAGGTGAAGAAATCAAAAGCTTGCGCCATGCCGCTGCTTCGTTCTGCCTGCTCACTACTTGGTATTCATCCCATGACATCAATCCTAGTCGATCCAAACCTCGTCGTCCACATGAGTCCCAAGAACGAAAGTGCCAGCTGGCCTGTGCCCAGCAGAATGAGCTTCTTCGCAAAGTCGGGATTCTTTTGAACGATCTCGTCCTTAGGACAAACTGCCATTGGAAAGGCCTCATAGGTCCTTCCTTCCTTCCTTCCTTTCGCAAAAACAGAATGCCTGATGGACAACGTTGTTCTTTCCAGTGCCACTGTAGGGTCACTAGTCACTAGGCAACCTCCTTTTCATGGGCATTTATACGGGATTGAGCTCGATCAGCTGCATGCCAAAGGCGAACTTGGGAGCCCAAATACCTTCTGCATCTTGTCACTTCGAACATGTTCAAGAGCGACGCTCCTGTACGCATGCACGCTGTTAAACCTTTTGCAAGTTGTTTTCCTTTCAACAAAAGAGGTGCATGGGGAAAATGATGCTCAAAGGTTTCTTCTTGCTCTGTGTTCCTGTCTTTGTGATCGTATTACTATCGTATCTCTTGGACCCTGACTCCACCCTGCAGCAGTTTTCTTGACTCATGTTGATTGCTTCACCGTCAGGTTTACATCAAAGCAAGCAAATAGTTCCACCAAACAGTTGGACATGCGGATGCACCTACCCCCAAAAGTGGGAAAACATCTTCCGTTGATCGTCACTTCCTTCTTCCCTTCCTACGCCCATCCCCTGCAGAGCAAAGCTTCTACTTCGTGTTGGCTGTGCTTCAGAATGGCCTCTCATGGTGCGGTCGGGCGACGGTGCAAACATCCCACGTACACACTCCTAGTAACAGGTGCCTTACTAGTAGTAACAATTAGAATTCTAATTAATGCAAGAGTTCCACTCGAAAACCCGGAATTTGTTGGGCCATCCGAGGCGTGAGACATTGAGGAGGCTTATGGTTGTTTGTCTCAATCGGTCTAAGCTACGACGACCCACATTGGCAGGTGTTGTCCATCAAGCGGATAACTTGATGCTAGAAAATCCTGTGACCTGGATACCTCTCCCTAGTCTGATCCACATGTCGCAACGGCCTTTGCCTCACCAAAGTCATTCAAACAACAGTAAAGGAACAAGGACAAGGAGAACTATGGAGAACTATCGCCCGCATTTTCATATTGATACCCTATTCAAAACCCGATCACAGAATAGAACATGTGAGGTTCCAGGCCTCCCGCTCGAGGGTCAGGAGATGCCAGCACGCCTGGTGGACTTGCCATACCGGAGGAAGACATCAAATTAAGAATGGCCTTCGATCCCTTGCTCTTTTAATTAAAGTCTATAGCTTCTTATTCTTTCTAATAGCTTCTTGTTACTACTAGTAAGGCCCTTGCTCCTAGTAGCGATGCCCTTTGCTCCTAGTAGCGTCCTCTTGCTCCTTCGATCCCATGCACAGCACCTTCGCACACGACGATTGTGACCTCGTTCTTCGAGCAGAATCTCCCCGTGAAAGTGGGAGAATGATATGGTGACATGGTGGAATCTTCCCAAACCGCAAAACTGATTCTGACGCAGAACCATACGCCATCTCTGGCCATCTCTCATTCTTTCACAGGGCCAACTTGTACAACCTGCTTTCACCCGCAGAACTGGAATCCATCATAGCGCCACCAACCGGGTAACCAGAATAGGAATCGTTTCGGATAGCTACCTTCCAGTTTCAAGAATTCACATCGCAGCCAACGGCGTTCGGGAACGTGACGAGCAAAACGAGGCTGTTCGGCACCGTGGCACAGCAAAACCTTGCTGCTCATACACCGGCACATGCAGTCGTCTGGACACTTTGGCCCACTTCTCTAAATGGGATCCGCCAGGCTTGAGGCCTAAGCCAAACGAGGTTCCACTGAATTGGAGCGACCCAAAGCGACCGTTAATCAATGTTCCTCACCAATCTGAACAGCTTGGAGTCCCTTGATGCACTTGTTACGAGTAGCTTCTTGTTCCTAGTAGTAAGGCCAGGAGCCCCTAGTAGCTTCTTGCTCCTAGTAGCGATGCACTTGTTACTAGTAGCTTCTTGTTACTAGTTTAGTGGCCAACCTCTTGAGTCTCCTTTGTGGGTGCCACACCCAAATCTACCACACACTGGCAAAGCATCGAATGGCATACCTCTCCCTCTTGGATCCCAGGTCTAATAAGTCTAGGTTCTGCTTCAGCTCGGAGAGAAATGCCAAGGACCTCTCTCCAGCCACAGCAAACAAAAGAATAAGCTAGCATCAGCTAGCCTCAGACTCCCATCCCTTAAAATCCACAGCATCCGACCATGTCGATGTTCTAGGCTCTTGTTGAGCATAGGGCACAAAGAACGCTTCTTCTCAACAAGTTTGTAGTAGAACTTGTAGAGCAGTCTTCATTACTCTCCACCAATTGGACCCTGACGAACCGATGGCAGTGTCTTACGGCCCAGCATTCTACAGTCAATCCAAAGGTGACCATCGCTTACTCCATGGCGGTTGCAACCTGGCGGACCATCACTTACTCCACTTCCTACGGTTTCGGAGCCACATGATTGAGGATAGGAAGCTCGTCCATATATAAACCTCCATTCACGGTAGTAGGTCAGTAGCAAGAGCTTCCAAGCCCCCCAGCAGGGTCTGAAGTTTGGCTTCAAGGACTTCTGCAAGGGCTAGGGAGGAGCGACTAGGAGTCAGATGTGAACCGGAAGTCACTGCAGCTCTCAGCGCTTCTTCTTGTCCTTCTTGGACTCCTGGAAACCGATCGACCTTTCAAGGCTCAAAGCCCCCCTGGGCAAACCAAGCCCTGATTTCCCACTTAACTCTGCAAGCCTGTACCATATGGAATTGTGTTCGGTGCGAGAACCCCCCTTTGGCAAAATGCAACATGATACAACACCTATCGAACAAGAAACAACTCTCCCACACCCTCATCGTCGTCATCTGCATCGGAAATCACTTCTCCTTCTTGGACTCCTTCGTTGTCACCTTCTTCTCCGAGGACCGCAGGAAAAAGGCTCCTGCTGGAGGCAAACAGGAGAGCAACATCCATTCCCGAGCTTCATCGGCTCTATAGATCACTCGAATTTTGTTAAACAGGTGTGAATTTTTGGAGGCCCAAGAACGAGAAGTCCTGACGGTCCATCTTACCCCGCCTCTTCATATGTCCAGGATTACTCAACTACCCCAACCCGGTAGATGTTCATAACTGCATCTAGAACATTCACCCAACACATTCAGCGACCAACGAAGGGCCTGCAGCCACCATGGCCAAAAGGAAGACCAGGACCAAGGCCAAGAGCCAGTTGTCTCCGCTGACAGGTCCTCGGTGCGTCGGGCGTCGGATGCCAAAACTGAACCCGCCTATCCCAAGGTCAATCCGTTCCAAGAAAATCTCCACAAGCACTAGGAACAATTTTCGCTACTAGGGGCTCCTGGCATCGCTACTAGGAGCAAGGACGCTACTAGGGGCTCCTGGCCTTACTACTAGGAACAGGGATGCTACTAGGAGCAAAGGGCATTTCTACTAGGAACAAGAAGCTACTAGGATTTGTTTCTTGTTTGAGGTCCTTCAATCTGGCGTGAGATGACACTTTCTTCAGAAAGGCCTCCAACGAGGCCACAGGGGTGGTCATGGATGCGCAAATCTTCTTGATCCAATCAGTGGGATTTGGTGCATGGTCATTGATAGACTAACATCTTGCTTGGATGGCAAACGCAGTAAATAATACACAAGATGTGGATTCATGTAAAACGAAACAGAACCATCCTAAGCAGGGAAGCATGTGCCCCGCTTTTTGCGACCTACCGCATCAACATAGGCTTTAGCTCGGAATCCAATCCGTCATCAAATCAAGCTACCACGCTCAAAGGATTGTCGGGCTCCTTTGCTCTCTGTAGGGAATTTGAAACACCCCACTCTCTGCCCAAATTCTCCATCATGGCTCCCAAAAGGTCCCCTCTGGCCTAATCAAGAAGCTACTAGGAACAAGTGCATCGCTTCTAGTAACAAGTGCCTTATTAGTAGTAACAAGGACGCTACTTGTTCCTAATTTAATTCTAATTTAATCTAATGTTACTTTAATTTAACTATATTTATTTTAATTCCAATTTAGTTTAATTCTAATTTACTTCTAACTTGATTTAATTCTAATTTAACTTAATTCTAACTTAATTATGATTTAGTTTAATTTAATTCTAATTTGATTCTAATTTAATTCAACTCTAATTTAATTTAATTCTAATTTACTTCTAATTTGATTTAATTCAAATTTAATTTGATTCTAATTTAATTATGATTTAATTCTAACTTGATCTAATTCTAATTTAATTCTAATTTTATTCTAATTTAAATCAATTCAAATTGAACTTAATTCTTTAAAATTGATTCTAATTTAATCAAATTCTAATTTAAATTAATCTTAATTTGTTACTACTAGTAAGGCACTTGTTACTACTAGCGATGCACTTGTTACTACAAGGACGCTACTTGTTCCTAATCACTCCTTCTCCTCCAAGTGGCCCTTCGAAGATTCCATTTTCAACTGTGGCGCTTCTGTCGGCACAGTGCCATCGCCTGTGAGCGAGCTTGCGGCACGTGCAGAGAAAGGCCGGCATGACATGGATGAATGGTACCTAGCTAAAGCGAAAGCAACCGAAAACACAGAGAACAGCCAAGGTGAATCCGTTTGAAGCTGTTTGGTACCCGGTTCGTTTTCTAATGAGAGTTTGTTTGCAAGGACCAGGGACCAATCAATTTTGTTCTTTTCGCATCTTGTCTGCGACACCCCAGTAACCCATCCTCGAGTCACTGAGACCAGCTCCACCTCGTAAAGCACCGCTGTGTCCTTGACATCGGCAAAAAGCGTTTGTGCTGGCAAAACGGAACGGGGAGTGGCGTGGAGGTGCGTGCGTGTTGTGTTGCTTTGATGAACTGCCCAAACGTCTTGAATTGAAAGTAGTGATTCTCTTGAAGGGATATTGCAGCCAGCAGGACATGGTATTACAGGCCAAACCGACTTCCCAACAGATCCACTCTGCACACATTGTCTGGGGTGTAAGGACGGCTTTGACGGACCCAAACCAGCCATCCTTGATTTCCAACAGTTTTCTCTGAATCCAAACGTCAAGGACACGTATCGAAATGAAGCAGCAAAAGTAATGATATGAGACACAAAAGTGTTGGAATTTCTGGCCGAAAGCGTCTCCCTTCATCAGCTTCTATCAAGACTGCGTTCAGTCCCAGTGGCGTAGGGCAGGAAACCCGCACGAGTGTTGTAGGCCAATGGCCCTGGGATCTTCGCCCTCAGCTTCTCCTCAGTGGTGCAATGGCACGGCGATGGCACAGCGATAGCCTCCAACCTAGAAGCCTCCAACCTAATTGGGCAGCGTAGTCTGGTACTGCTTGTTTGGTGTGACCGAAAAAAGATTGGATGTCTTCGCTATCTGTAGGCTCCGACTTGAATGATTTTCTCACTGGGACAATCGACCCTTCATTCATGATACAGTGGGCTGAAAAAGGAGCTGGTGCAATGTCAGGAGTGCAATGTGGGGACCTGCCACACACTTGCAGTACAAAGCATGATGATGGACGCAACCTCAAACGAAGTCTGGAGAAAGGTTCCGTGAATTTTGCCCAAAGCTCTAACCATTCTTCTCATTACTGGAATTAGTTGATTTCTTCTGCGTGAGAAACACTTAAACTCAAAGTGAAGCATGAACCACCCAGTTCCTTTTGGGCCCTAGGGGCTCCTGGCCTTACTAGTAGGAGCAAGGACGCGACTAGGGGCTCCTGGCCAGTTCTTTTTGGGCCACGGTGCTTCCTTTTTTCTTCGCCGAGGCTCTCCGGTGCACATCTCCCGCAGAACCGCCTCCAGTCCAACAATCAGCCGAGGAGTGCCGAAGGTGAACTCCAAAGGCTTGTCCTCCTGACAAGCGAATTCAGAAGAAGAAACACCTAATAAAGCAACATGAACATTGAATTGAACATATATACTTAAGAAGCATAAAGGCCCTTATCACGCCCTCTATCGACCTTCCTTTTTAAAGTTCTATTGCCCCTGGCTGTTGACCTTTTCTTGATCATCCTGAAGCACATCGTAGAGTTTACTGTGTACTTCATTTAATACTGTGTTACTGCAGTTAGGATTCATGTCCAAACTGATAGTTTTCGACACTTCCACAATTTTCTTGATCCCGCTATCTGATCGATGTCCTTCCCTGTCAACTCGTCTAACTAAGCTTCGACACCCACACAAACGTCGCGTTTCTCAGAACAAAACTTCTAGTTTAGGTGAGCTCCTCACATTCGCGTGAGTGCTTTCTTGGGAACCTCTCACAGCTCCTTCGTCTTCTGATCGATGTTGGAATCCATCTGCATGCCCACCTCACCAGTGACCGACACCGGGGAGCCAAAGAAGGACTGTCTCCGCAGATCCTGATGATGGCATCAACCTCTTACCACTTGCAGAACTTGTAGTGCTCCATTCTTTCATCAACATCAGCAGTGTTCCAATTTCCTCTGCATATCAGTTTGTTTGCAGATTGGTTTGTCCAACTTGTCCCAGCACAAGTTGCTTTTGCCTTAGAATTGCCCAACACATCGAAACGAACGTCGATTCATGTCCATGAAGAAATTCTATGCTTTGTGCGGCCCGATGTTCGACCCCACCCCACGCAGTCCGGGCCAAAACTGTCTGACCTGAATGGGCCGCCCCTGCCCGTCGGTGGTCTTTCCTTCTGGCAGTTCTGCGATGAAACCTGAGCAAGGACGCTACTAGGGGCGCCTGGCATCGCTACTAGGGGCAAGGATGCTACTAGGTTGGAGTTGATCGACCCGAGGGTGTGCTCTGCGCCTTTGTTGGGAACTTGCCGTTTGATGTTACTGTGATCCCTAGCTGTAGCCTATAGGTGATTCTGATGGGCTGCGAAGAGCCTTTGCTTTCAAGCGCTGATATTAGAGGTATTGTGGGAATCCCAAAGAGGTGGCTGACAGATCGAGGAAAACGGAAGCAGCGCTTTTGAGGGTCCAAGTTAGTCCTGCAGCGAAACCGAAGGATCCGATCAGAACCAAAGCGAGTGGCCTTTGTGGCGAAAGGCCACCTGATCCCCATCGCGGCCTTGCTGGCAATCCTCAAGCGGCAGCATTGAGTGACAACGACGGTAAGCTGGCAACCGAAAACGAAAGTGGTTCTCCAAAAATCCAAAAAGTGGGAAGACGCCGTCCTTTCTTTAGGAGCAAGAAGCTACTCGGAACTAAGGGCATCGCTACTAGGAGCACGGACGCTACTGGGGGCTCCTGGTCTTACTAGGAGCAAGAAGCTACGAACGGAGCTTTCACAAAAACCTTGGGAGGATACGCCCTGATGTAGTTCGGGTCCGGGTAGCCGAATGCTCAGTCAGCCACTCGATGTCGAGGTGAGAGCGGATGGACGCCCAGTCCCTCTTCCTGCGGAGACCGCCCAAATTCATTGCACTCAAGGCAGCTAGCTCATGTTACTACTAGTGTGGCACTTGTTATTACTAGCTTCTTGTTACTACTAGTAAGGCACCTGTTACTACTAGCGT